CTGTTGACCACTTGTGCCCTCTAGTGATAAATTCAATTATACAACAGGATTGGCTTGGAAAACAGCTCCAGAGTAAACAGGGAAAACAGTAAGAAAGCAATAGATAAAATTCAATGTAAAGAAAATGGAATCCAGGCCAAAGATGCAGGTTAAAAAAGATGGAAATAATCCAATGGTCATTACCTTCTGTGGTGTACCTATGCTTGTTCCCTCCAGGGCAAACATTCTATGTGATTACTACTATAGTAAAGAAAACAGCAAACACACTGCTGAATATAAAAGCATTTTCAGATATAATTAGAATAACCCTATTCCTCAAATTAAGATGCAGATTATTTTTTGTTTAGAAAGACAAAGGATCTATTAAGATTCTCAGAGACTGTCATATACCTAATGTGGATAAACAAAACAGAATTGTTTTTAAACACATCTGTCAAGCAGGTGCTAAGATGCCAATTTTAAATATTCATGTTAGTTTCACTGGTGCATGGATTTACCAATGGGGATGGGTTCGGACTAAAATTATGTACTATGTTGGGCTTAAGTAGGGTCCCCAGCCTTCTAAGCATGTTCCTTGCTGTCCCCAGCATAGCAATGCATGACTAGTCTATCACATACTCTCTTCTGAAAAATTTTAAATTGATGCATTATAATAGTACGTATTTATGTGGTACAAAGTGATATTTCAATACATATATGCAATATGTAATGATCAAATCAAGGTAATCAGCATATCTATCACCAAAAATAATTTCTTTGTGTTGGAAACATTCAAAATCCTCTCTTCTAAATATTTGAAAATATACAATAAATTATCATTAAGTATATTCACCCTTTAGTGCTACAGAACACTAGAACTTATTCCCCTACCTGTAATTTTATATCTGTTAACCAACCTCTGACTGTCCCCCTTTTCCAGACTCCAGTAACCATAATCCTACTCTCTACTTCCATGAGCTCAACTTTTTAAGATCCTACATATGAGTGAGAACATGAGGTATTTATTTTTCTGTGACTGACTTATTTCACCTAACACAGTGGCTTCCAGGATCATTCATGTTGCTGTGAATGACATAATTTCAGTTTTCTTTATGGCTAAATAGTATTCCACTATGTACATATACCACATTTAATTTATCTATTCATTTATTAATGGACATTTAGGTTGATTCCATGTCCTGGCTATTGTGAATAGTGCTGCAATAAACATAGGGGTGCAGATATCTCTTTGAAAGACACAGAGAGAGTGAGACTGAGAGAGAGAAAGAGCGGGAGAGAGACAGAGCATGAGAGAGAGCAAGAGCACCAAATCCTAACCACTAGACCACCAGGGAGCATCATCTCTTTGATACACTGTTTTTCTTTCCTCTGGATAAATACCCAGTAGTGGGACTGCTGAATCATATGGTAGTTCCATTTTTAGTTTTTGAGGAACCTCCATACTGTTTTCCATAATGGCTACAATAATTTATATTCCCACCAATAGTGTATTAAGAGTTTCTTTTTCTCTACATCCTCACTAGGTTTTGTTATTTTTTGTCTTTTTGATAACAGCCATTCTAAGAGATCAGATGATCTATTTCATTGTGGTTTTGATTTGCATTTCCCTGACCAAATATTCTACTGACAGCAAACATTATGGCCATTCCTGACCATATATCTTACCTGTACATAAATGTTGGTTACATTTTTCTTGTTATATAAAAAAGGAAACGAACTTCAATGACCTCAATAGAGATTCAGTTTAAACAACAGAAAGGTCTCCTAAACCATGCTGTTGTCACTGCTATATAAGTGAAGTATTAAACAATCTTCTTTTGAAATCTTTAAGAAGAGGGGGAAAAAAACCATAGGTATTTTGAATCATTTAGGTCTAACTCTGACTGGAGGCATAAGATAAAGATAATAACCATTAAAGCTTCCTTTCTAGCATTAAAATTAAATATTATTGGCTGGGCATTGTGGCTCATGCCTATAATCCCAACATTTTGGGAGGCCAAGGCAGGAGGATTGTTTGAGCCCAGGAATTCGAGACCAGCCTGGGCAACATGGTGAAACCCCGTCTCTAGAAAAACTCCAAAAATTAGCTGGGCGTGGTGGCTTGCACCTGTAGTCCCAGCTACTTGGGACGCTGAGGTAGTAGGATCACTTGAGCCTGGGAGGTTGAGGCCACAGTGAGCCATGACTGCACCACTGCATTCCAGCCTGGGTGAAAGAGCAAGACCCTGTCTCAAAAAAAAAAATTAAACATTATTGCTGGTTGATTTCTATCTTTTCCATTCAATTCTCTGTCCTGAGAGGCAACCACTCTTCTGATTTCTATCACCATAAATTAGTATTGCTTATTCTTGAGCATTAATGATGAAATGTTTTTTTTTGAGACGGAGTCTAGCTCTGTCGCCCAGGCTGGAGTGCAGTGGCCGTATCTCAGCTCACTGCAAGCTCCGCCTCCCGGGTTTACGCCATTCTCCTGGCTCAGCCTCCCGAGTAGCTGGGACTACAGGCGCCTGCCACCTCGCCCGGCTAGTTTTTTGTATTTTTTAGTAGAGACGGGGTTTCACCGTGTTAACCAGGATGGTCTCGATCTTCTGACCTTGTGATCCGCCCGTCTCGGCCTCCCAAAGTGCTGGGATTACAGGCTTGAGCCACCGCGCCCGGCCTAATGATGAAATGTTTTAAGGTGATGGAAAAGTTCTGTATCTTGATTTGGGTAGTGGTTGTGCTGGTACATAGAAGTGTCAAAACCCAGGAAACACTATATTTAAAATCTGTGCATTAATTGTAAATTATATTTCAGTTAAAAAAAAAGATATTAGAGTCTTGGGAAGAGATAACTTTAAAAATAATAGATACTATCACTCTTAAGGAGTGGGCTAGGGAAGAGAAGGAAGTCGGCATGACCTCAATAGCAGATATAGTTTTATTGAACCAAAAACCAAAAAAGGAAAGAGCTGCCCTAGCTTCTCAACTGTATCCATGCTGATTAGTTAACAGCACCATTTCAATAGAATGCCCCCCACTCTGACTGGCTCATTTGTTGTTGCAGAGCTGAGTAAACTGTACTGCCTGATGGATGAAAATGGATTTAGGGTAGAGAGGTGGTCATAAGATACTACTGATTGTCTTGAGGTAGAAATGTAGGAATTTACACTGGGTCATGATGAGGCATGTGGCTCTGTAGGCCCATATAGATAACGGCATCATGCCTGCTAGCATTAGGAGAGAGTGCTCAAGGGAGAAAAACAGTTAAGAATTTAACTGAAATAAATGAAACAAGCAAATATAAGACTTTGACAAAAAGGATGCCTCACTCTATGCTGATTCATTATCAGCCTTTCTTTCTGCACTATTGGCGAGGCTGGAGATTGGAACTTGGAATATATTTCTTATAGCAATCCCTAGCTTACCTGCATAAATTCAAATGTACCAGTCCAGAGATACTGGGCTGTTTATTCTTTTTGATTCACATTGTTGTTTTCTTGACACATGGTAAACACTAGTAAATGCCTTATGCAATTGGATGTGTGGAGTATTTTTAGTCTGACAAATGCCTTTCACATCAAACTGCAACAGTCTCTGCTTTTCTTCATACTTTCAAGTCAACAGTCCTAAAGTAAAATTCTCTAGGAAGTACTGCTTCCTAGAGATCAAGATTAAGATCAAGATCATCTTAATTTTCCTTACTTGGTACCCTGTAGGCTAGGATTTTCCACTGCCAAGAAGATTAGAAAAGTAGAGAAAAGAATTTTCACTGGCAAAAGACATTCTTAGACAACAAAAACTTCCCTTTTGCAATTCCCTGAATTTAAATGGACTATGTAATTCTGTATGGATAATGTTCCATTTCAGTACTCTATAATCTATAACTCAGATCTTCTGAGTTATATTTCCTGAGTTACATATTCTTTAGAGTTATAATTCCCCAAAGGAACTTTCCTGTATTCACTCTTCCTACCTCCAAAAGCCTTTCCAAGCCCCTTGAAGAAACTAAGAATTGCTGTAATTTATACACATACACACATGCACACACTCTTGCTCCAAGGAACCTCTATATACTATTTCCACACCACACAGCTTGCCTTTATGAAGTAGCCCCAGCTTCAACCAAGGACAGGCAATTCTCACCTATGTCACCATTAGTCATTAAAGACACTACTTTCTGGAAGGCTACTATTGTCTGTTTTGGATCCAGACAAAAATATAGGCAGTTAAATGACAGTATATTATTTATATCTTCTCTGCTAATGATGAGTTAGATGTTAATTTTCAGTATAGGTTATTAAATATACTCTGAGAACATACTTCCCATAAGTTGCAGGATACAAAAAGGTCATCTTTTTACTTAATTTCAATAGAAAAGCATGTGTATTTCAAATAATTTAGTCAAAACCAATTTCCTTCCTTCTTGGAAAACAGTACTGAAAAGAAAACCACCACCAATCATGTCTGAGTGGCTTACAGGAGCCTGGAGTATCTTCGGAAAAGCTGAACTTAGGCCTTTCACTGCAGGGAAGAGTTGGATGTCAGGCCTTAAAAGGTCAGAGTTATATAAGATGCCAGATGTTTAATCTTATCTCAAAGTCAAATATAAATGACTTGGGGACTGTCTGATGTTTTACATTCTCCACATTTATGTCCCTCTCTATTAGTGTGGATCCAAAAAGGAACTGGTATCACTTTTCATTCAAAGATTTCAAAGTATTTCATATAATCCAATAACATACTCAGAAGAGAGAAAATGATGGATCCTATAACAGGGTGAAAGATTGGCAGCAGGCAAAGAAAAATGTAGGAAACTGGTTCAAGAGCACAGGCGTTGTTATACCACATGAGAAAACAGTACCACAAACTAACACCTGCCCCATCTCTTAGAGGAATGTCTATCTCCAAACTCCCTCTCAAATAAAATTTGCATAAGTCTTGCCCTTTCTTCTACTAAAATTATATACAAGAGCAAGACTGTGCTCTCAAGAGACATGCCTCACTGGTTTGTCACTTACCCATGTTTCTTTGACCTCTTCAGAGCCATCAGTTTCATCCTCCTAAAAAAGAAAAAGGAAGAAAATCAAGAGGCTCATCGTCAGAGACATCCTTGAAAGCAACAAGGTCAGATCCCATCAATTATGCATCTTGGCATTTCAAACATGGGCAATGAGAATTGACTTCCAAGTGATGCTCTGTTACTGCTACTTTTCACAGCCATCACAGGCAGGCAATTTAGAAATGTCACCTGTAGTCTAAAAAGTCAAATAGACCACAATTGGAAAAGGGATTTTTTTTTTTTTTTGAGACGGAGTCTCACTTTATAGCCCAGGCTGGAGTGCAGTGGCCCGATCTTGGCTCACTGCAAGCTCTGCCTCCCGGGTTCACGCCATTCTCCTGCCTCAGCCTCCTAAGTAGCTGGGACTACAGGCACCTGCCACCACACCCGGCTAATTTTTTGTATTTTTAGTAGAGACAGGGTTTCACTGTATTAGCCAGGATAGTCTCAATCTCCTGACCTGGTGATCCGCCCGCCTCAGCCTCCCAAAGTGCTGGGATTACAGGCGTGAGCCACCGTGCCCAACCGGAAAAGGGATATCTTTAAGACAGACGACAGACAGACAGACTTAATTTCATCTTTGTCAATACTTATCAATTTGGCCCTATAACAATAAAATACTTTTATCTAAAAATAATTTATAATAGATGACTATTACTGTCTCATTTCTTGTCTCACTGAATAAAGTTTGTCCAATTTTCAAATGAGTCATTGGTAGGCAGGGTCCTCTTGTCCAAGTTACTGGCCACTTGTTCTTTAAAATGCCAATAACAAGGTTGAATGAGAAGGGTACCAAACAAGATATGGAAGAGGATGAGTGGAACTACTGAATGTGTATTTGTAGTTAGTAAACATTGGTATATCTGTCTTTATTTGAAAGCCAAAGTTCATCTATTTTATGTTATTTGTTCTGTTTTTTTCTCCAAAAGAGTAAAACTAAGTGACCTTGTATTACTTAGAGGTTTTAAGTTCCTTGAACTTCTTGTAGTACTCCTACAATACTTAGTTAGAATCTCTGCTCATATGTGGCATTAAGATATTGTTGACTCACATGACATTCAGGGAATATTAGGAAGGACTACTAAAACTTGACAAGCTTATTCACTTGTTATACTTGTTTATACGGCTGTTGTATATTTCCAGTTTTTTAATTCTTTGCCAATTATTTACTGAGTGCCTGCCATGTGCTTAGCACTGTACTAGATACTGGCAATCTAGCAGGAACATACCAAATGAGTCCCACACTAGTTAGGTCTTTCTTCTCTTTTCCTCAGTAATACTTCCTGAGAATCTGCAAGATTCACGGCACCATGTAGGACTCTTTCTTTTAAACTCAACTGAAAGGATGGTGGCCAAGAGTAATACGATATGCCTCAGCACACACCAATCCACTTACATCCTTTGTCCAGAAATTGATGCCTGTACCTCTTCGTCGTTCCTTGGGCCGCCTCCTCTCTCGGACGGACAGCCTCCTAGAATACTGCTCATCCAAATCTGCTTCTGGATTCTCTGGCCAGAGATAAAATAAAGTATGAACTTTAAGAATCTGGGGGATGTGCACTGTGGAGGGGCCTGTGTCTTTTGAAGCTCTACATACCATTTTTGTCCATTTCCTTTGCAGTTTTAGTATTTGTGGTAGTCGTTGAACTCTCAGAATCAGGGACTGAAAATCTATTTGTCCGTGGCAGGTGGGAACTGGTGTAGAGTGAGGGTCTTGATGTAGAAGGAGATGCTGGCGTGGTGGGTTTGTCTGGCTGAGTTGGGCACCTCAGGCGATGACAGATAGGCTGGAAATAATCCACAACATGAGATACTAGAAGTCAAGTCCATCTAAAGGATAAGGACAGCAGGATTATACAAAATGCTTTTTTTTCTATATTAAGAGGCTTATGAGTAGATGACGATCAATATTGAGTACCTGGGAATAGGTCCTCAATAAGTGAACTAAGCTAAAGTCAGTTAATTAGACAGAAAAAAAACAGCTGCTAGACTCCTACTCTGAGAATCCCATCATGTTGAGAGCAGTTCAAGCGAATTACTCATCAATTGACCAAAGGGTACTACACAGCATTAACTGTGTAAAAAAAATTCCTTTGATCTTGGAATGAAAACAAGAATGATGGCCTTTTTAAGATGGAGTGCTGAAAGGCAAGGTTTATGTAGGGAAACAAAAAGATCAGGAGCATTAAGCAGCAGAATGTAGGGATTATCTGAGAACAGAGAACAAATGTATCCTACCGAGTTCTGAATACTCTACCAGCTTGCCATAACCAGGCTTATTGAAACTTTCTAAAGTTCCCATTTTCCTTTTTGTAGTTTTGTTTTGTTGTTTTCTTTTTCTTTTTTTTTCTTTTCTTTTTTTTTTTGAGACGGAATCTTGCTCTGTTGCCCAGGCTGGAGTGCAGTGGTGCGATCTTGGTTCATTGCAACCTCCGCCTCCCGGGTTCAAGCAATTCTGTTTTGTTGTTGTCTTTTTTTTTTTTTTTTTCAACCTGAGAGTTAGGACAGATAGAGCCTAACAATAAGCCTTAACGTGGTTTATGGAAGACTCAGAGATAGATAAATCCTTACTACACATTAAATTTATGACATAGAGATTGTACACATTTTTGTGATTTATAAAGACACATACAATAAAATGTAGTACATTTGGAGTCAGACAGATCTTTGTTCAAATTCTAGCTTCAGCACTTACTAGCTGTGTGACCTTGAATAAGTTACTTAGCTTCTCTGAGCCATAACATCCTCATCTATAAAACAGAGATAACACCTTCTTCAGAGAGGATTATGAGGATTAAATAAGAAAATGTGCATTAGGTGCTTAGAAGAATAGCTGGTAATAGGTACTCAATAAATAGTAGCTTATAAAACAAACAAAATACAAAATAGAACTTCAGTTTATGGAATCTAGCCATTCAGAGTCAAAGCAAGAAGGAGATTACTTTCCTCTATAACCACAGTGACCATAATATTTATCTGTCCAAACTGGGACACTTTTGAGAGTGCAAAGGAGTGGTAATGATAATTACACAAAGACAACAGTTGTATAATTGGAACCATCTTAGATAAACCACGAGTTATGTTCACCCTAAATATAAACTTATACCTTTGACTACCAACTCCACTAGAGAAATGAAACATAAATCAAAATGTCCTTCCCAACGGTGACACTCATGAGTGCTTTGTAAGCCCTTAGGTTATAAGAGTTTGAAAAACAATACACTAGCAGTTAAGAGAGCAAGCTGTGGAGTCAGGCTGCCTATATTCAAACTCTGGCTTAACCACTTCTTGGTTATGTGAAATGTTGGGCAAATTCCTCAACCTCTGTGATTCAATTTCCTCACATATAAAATAGAAATAGTAATATTTACCTCAGAGGGTTGTTATGAGGATTAAATGCATTAATACATAATAAGTATACTTAAAATAGTGCCTGGCATAAAGTAAGCATGTATTGAGTAAAGTAAACACTCAATACATGCTTATATTTTTATTTGCATTTTGTCATACTATGATCTCTCTTTTTAGAATAGAAGGACATTTATTCAAAAGCATCAGTGAACTCTCAGAAGAAAAAAAAATGGTCATTTAAGGACCAACATCCTCTAAATTTTTGTCACACAGGTTTCCCAACTAAAGACAGCCATACAGAGTAAGTTGTCCATTGCAAGGTAGAACATAGCCTTTGAACTATCAGTGAAGAAGACACTCCCCAAACTAATTACCCTGCTTTTAGCACAGTACATGCCAGCAAAAATGAGCTCACCTCTTCATCCAGACTCCTGCCCCAGGGCTGCTGGCCCTCCCCAGCTTCTGTTGCTGGAACTGCTGAGGGCTCATGCTTCTCAGGGCTCCCCTCAAGCCCTTCAGTGTCTGTGGGCTTCTCACAAGGCTGCTCCTGAGCTTGCCTCTCTGCCCTCGACCGGCTGAAAGTCCTTTCTGCTTCCTGAAGGTCCGTTAGGGTGACACCCTGGGAAAATATCATAAGATCAGGGCTGATTCACACTAACCATGGAATAACTCTTGATTGAGCAGCAGTATTCCCAAAAAGATCTAATAGTTATCAAATACCAAAATGAAGCCCCCCAAAATGCATAATGAGGTCACTTCAAGCAATATATGCTTAAAATAAGCATCTCACTGTACAAAGAACCCAGGCCTGAGTCTAGGTATATTTTGAATGTAATACTTTAGTTTTTCTAGTTTGATCTCCAGAAAATAGGTCAACATTGATGTCTGCCTGTTATAGATGTACTTTTTCCATACCAAATAGTTCTCCTTATCTTTATTTGAAAGGTCCCTACCCTCCCAAGATCAAATGGTTACGAACAGAGATTCTCTAAACAGCAGATACTGGGAAAAAAATTTTACTTAAAAAAAGAAAAACCTAGCTCAACAAGATGAAAATTCAGAGCTAGGCTAGAATAACAACAACACAACCTCTTAAAACTCCTAGACTAGCTTTTCTCTAACATCAATTCCCAAGTCACTCTAGGAATCATATATGGATATTCCAACAATTAACGTTCGCCCCGCAGGGTCATAGGGGCAGCAAGACAGAAGAAAGGCAAATGATGACAAAACTACAGAAGAAGGGAGAAAAGGAGTTTAGAAAGAGCATGAGTTGATTCCAACTCAAGTAGTTACATGCGTGAGTCCTCAGAAGAAGGAAGTTCCAAAGCTGGAAGGTAGTTGATCAGGTACTGTATCCACAACTTGCTTCCCCTCCCCACACCTGGCTTTTTTACTATTAATTCATTTACTTACTCATTCTGTTAATAAAGAATTAGGTGTCTTTAGGCACTAGAACTACAAAGACAAATCAAATGATTACTGTCAAGAACCTTTTAGTCTAGCAGAAAAGACATAAGAAAACAGACCAGTATAATGAGAGAATGTAAGTATTAAAACAGAAACACAGGAATATATAAGAGGAATACCTAACACTGGGTTCTAAAGAGTAAAAAGAACTTGGGTAGGGGGAGGGAGAAAAGGCATTATAGGTAGAGGCATCCTGTACAAAGATACAGAAACAAGAGAGGCCATGGATGATTTAGAAATATGTAGGTAACTTAGCAAAGATGAAGCACACAACAAAAAAAGGAAAGTGGGAGGAGAGAGGGAGAATGAGGATAGGTGATTTGAGGAAAGCAGGCAGAGGCTAGGTCATAACAGATTTTGTAAGCTATGCTAAGAAGCTTAGATTTTACTTTCTTTGGGAGTCAGTGGTCCCTTTGAGAATCTCATGAAGACTACTGAGAATCTAATAAAATCTCCTCAAAAATTATGTACACATTTCAAGGAGTTCAAAGATCTATTCAAGTTTTGACATGGACCTTCACTCCCTCTCTACTGAATCTTTCCCTCTAAGACGGTTCTACGTTCCTGTCTCTCCCACCTTCAATTCTATGCCCCTCTCCAGCAACTTCCCCATCTCTTCCCATTCCTTCATAAACAAACTTGAAATCAATCCAGAGCAATTTATCTTCCCATATCATTTATTTCTCACTCATTTATTTACTCAATAAATATATAGTGATTTATTTACTGTATGATGGTGGAAAAGATGAGCAAAAGTATAGTCAGTCTTCTTTTTCACACCCATTAGGATGGTTACTACCAAAAAAAACCAGGCTGGGAGTGGTGGCTCACACCTGTTATCCCAGCACTTTGAAACGCCAAGGTGGGTAGATCACTTGAGGTCAGGAGTTCAAGACAAGCCTTGCTAACATGGTGAAACACCGTCTCTACTAAAAATACAAAAATTAGCCAGGTGTGGTGATGGGCACCTGTAATCCCAGCTACTTGGGAGGCTGACGCAGGTGAATTGCTTGAACCCTGGAGGCAGAGGTTGCAGTGAGCCAAGATCACACCATTGCACCCTGGCCTGCGTGACAACAGCGAAACTCTATCTCATAAAAACAAACAAACAAAAAAAAAATATTGGTGAGGATGTGGAGAAATTAGAACCCTTGTGCACTGCTGATGGGAACATAAAATGGTACAGCCGCTAAGGAAAACAGTATGGGAGTTCCTCAGAAAATTAAAAATTGAATTACTGTATGATCCAGCAAATTCCATTTCTTGGTATATACCCAAAAGAATTGAAAGCAGGGTTTCAGGGAGATATTTGTATAGCCATTCTCATAGCAGCATTAAATAGCCAAAAGGTGGAAGCAACCCAATGTCTACTGACAGATGAATGGATACACAAAATGCAGTATCCATAAAAGGCTGAAATATTCAGCCTTTAAAAGGGAGGAACTTTGACACATGCTACAATGTGTCATGTATCATGATGTGTCAGGTATCATGGATGAACCTTGATAACTATGCTAAGTAAAATACAACACAAAAGGACAACTACGATATGATTCTACTTATTTGAGGTTCCTAGCAGTCAAGTTCATAGACAGAAAGTGGAAGCGGGGTTGCAAGAGGGAAATGGGGAGTAATTATTTAATGGATACAGAGCTTCAGTTTGGGAAGAGGAAGAAAGTTCTAGAGATGAATAGTGGTGATAGTTATACAACAATGTAAATGTACTTAATGACATTAAACTGTGTAAACTTAAAAATGGTAAAACTGGTAAGTTTTATGTTAGGTATATTTCACCACAATAAAACAAAACAAAAAAACAGTCAGTCTTGGTCCTCATGGGGGTTACATTCTAGTGGATGAAATAGACAATCATCAAGTAAAAATAAAGGAAGAATATATAACCTACTTTGGGAGAGTCAAGGAAGACAACAAGCGTGTTTTTGCTGCCATATATAATGCCTCTTTTCCAGTGATCAAATTTGCTACTTGACCTCTGTAGTATTCAAAACTGTGGAACTTCTCCTTTTCACTGGAAATGGACTTTTCATTTACTTCCATGCTGCTACTATTTTCTGATTTTCTTTTCACCGCTCTTGCTGCTTCTTTTCATCCTGCTTCAGGGGCTCATCTTTCTTTGCTTCTTTAAATAAGAAATTCATAGCCTTCTCTCCATTCTCATTGTCATTACAACTTGATTTCATTGCCTTGTAATTTCCTGGGACTACAATACAGCTTGGACTACAATACAGCTTCCCAGCAAGTCTTCTTGCTTCCAGGCTTGGCAAACGTACCTCTACCTACCATTCCCATCAATTATCTGCAGGGTGATTTTTCTAACACATAATGTAGACTATGTCATATTCCCTTAAACTGCTTCAATGACTCCCTCAGGGATTCCTTTTGTAATATTTTTATTAAAATACAATCCTTATATCATATAACTCACCATTTGAAAGTATACAATTCCTTAGTTTTTAGTTTATTCACAGTTATAAAATTATTACCACATCTAATTTCATAACATTTTCATCACCCCAAAAAGAAACCACACACTCACAATTCTGCCTTCACCCTAGCCCTGGCACTAATCTAATTTCTGTCTCTTTGGATTTGCCTATTTGGGATATTTCATATAAATGGAATCATATAATATATGGAGTGTTTTTGTCTGGCTTCTTTCACTTAGCATAATGTTTTCTCAAGGTTCATCCATGTTGTAACATGTATCAGTACTTCATTTCTTTTTATTGCCAAATGGTATTCCATTGTATGGATATATCACATTTTATTTACCCATTCATTAGTTAATAGACATTTGGCTTATTTTTACTTTTTGGGTATTATGAATAATACTATTACAAACACCTATATACAAGTTTTTATATGAATATATGTTTTCATTTCTCTTAAGCAGAACTGCTGAGTCAAATGGTAACTCTATGTTTAAAATTTTGAGGAACTGCCAAACTCTTTTCCCTTAGGGATTCTTAAAATGTAGTAGGGATATAGGGATGTACAGGGGTTCTTAAGGTCTTTGAGCACAAGTGGAATAATTAATCTTGTGAAGGAAAGGAGATAAACCTGTTCTAAGTCTGGAGGAATATTGGTGAGAATGGGTAGATGTAGCTGTAAATTAATTTGGTTCTATGTAGTGTAAGATTCAACACAATGAAAGCTTTTAAGACTGTGGCTGGAATAGGGCAGTCATTTTCATGTATGTGTTTTATTTTGTCTTGTTTTTTTGAGACGGAGTCTTGTTCTGTTGCCTAGGAGGGCTGTGGTGTAATCTTGGCTCACTGGAACTTCTGCCTCCCAGGTTCAAGCAATTCTCCTACCTCATCCTCCCGAGTAACTGAAATCACAGGCACGCAACACCATGCCTGGCTAATTTTCATATTTTTAGTAGACACAGGGTTTCACCACATTGGCCAAGCTGGTCTCGAACTCCTGACCTCAAGTCAGGAGTGCTCCTGGTCTCAACTCCTTGGCTTCCCAAATTGCTGGGATTACAGGCATGAGCCACCATGCCAAGCCGTGTGTGTGTGTGTGTGTGTGTGTGTGTGTGTGTGTGTTTGTTCAAATCAGCAGATGAACATGGATATTGTAGTGTGTTTTGATCATACCTCCAAAAGAAGGGTAGATAGACAAAATGACATTAAAAAAAAAAGCCACACTCACTTGAGTAGACCTTCGTGTCTGCCGAGCTTGTCTGGAGCGTGCTTTCCGTAAAGACTCTGCTTCCTCATCCCGTACAGGAGTTAGATAGGACCTGCAGAGAAAAAAGAGTAATAGCAAAAGCAAGATCTTTGCTGCATGTACTTGAGGAATGACAAAGTGCTTCCACATACTGAAGAGATTTCCACATTCTAGGAATGAACTTAATGACAAGAAATGCTATCAACCATCAGTAAACATTATGGAATCCAAGTCATTACAGTAGTTCCCCCTTATCTGTGGTTTTGCTTTCTGTGGTTTCAGTAGCCCATGGTGAAATGTGGTCTGAAAATATTAAATGAAAATTTCCATCAATAAACAATTCATACATTTTCAATTGTGCACTGCTCTGATTAGTGTGGTAAAATTTCATGCTGTTCCATTCTGTCCCTCCTGAGATGCAAATCATGCACTGTTGTGATGTCACAGTGTTTATATTCAAGTAATACTTATTCTACTTAATAATGGCCCCAAAATGCAAGAGTAGTGATGCTGGCGTTTTGTTATAACTGTTCTATTTTATTATTAGTTATTAGTATTATAGTTAATCTCTTACTGTGCCTAATTATAAGTTAAACTTTAGCATAGATATGTATTTATAGGAAAAAATAGTATTTATATAGGGTTTTACACTACCTGTAGGTTCAGGCATCCACTGAAAGTCTTGAAAGGTATCGCACAGTTGCTCACTCCTGTAATCCCAGCACTTTGGGAGGCCAAGGTGGGCGGATCACCTGAGGTCAGGAGTTTGAGACCAACCTGACCAATATGGTGGAACCCTGTCTCTACTAAAAATACAAAAATTAGCCAGGCATGCTGGCAGGCACCCGTAATCCCAGCTACTCAAGAGGCTGAGACAAGAGAATTACTTGAACTTGGAGGCTGAGGTTGCAGTGAACTGAGATTGCACCACTGTACTCCAGCCTGGGTGACAAGAGTGAAACTCGGTCTCAAAAGAAAAAAAAAATGAAATGTATCTCTGATGGATAACAGGGGACTATTGTATTTGTAAATGTATTATTATTCACACAGAATCATGTCAAACTGTAAAATGAGAATTTTATTTCTTCTTTCCTATCCTTCCAATTTTTATTTCTTTTCTTGCCTTAATGCTTTGGCTAGAATCTCTAGGACATGCTAAAAAGCAGTGATGATAGTAAGCTTTCATTCTCTGTAATCCTGCCATCAAAGAGAATGCTTTCAGTATTTTTTCATTAAGTGTAATTTTTTTTGGTAAGATTTATGCAGATACTACTCATCAAACTAAAGCAACTGCCTTCTATTCCTATAGAAAACAGGCTAAAAGGGTTTCTCATTGCTGTTTTTTAATCATTAGTGTATGTTGAACTTTATCACATGCTCTTCTTCCCCATATATTGAGATGATTGCTTTTCTCCTTTTTTCTGTTAGGAAGATGAATTACATTGAATAATTTTTGAATGATAAAGCAACGTTGAATTCTTGGGACAAGCTCAACTTGGCCAAGATGTATCATCTTTTTATATAGATTTTTAAACATATTCACTAATATTTAGTTTAGAATTTCTACCACATTCATGAAAGAAATTGGCTTATAATTTTCTCTTCTTGTAATATGCTGGTCAGCTTCATGAATTAAGGTTATATGAATTGCAAGTGTTCTCTACATGTCTATTTCTGTAAGAATTTGTGTAAGATTTGGGTTATTTCCTCCTTAAATGATTGGAAGAGTTCACCAATCAAGTCATCTAGGTTTACAGTATTTCCTGTGGGAGGGTTTTATTTTTGATTTTTGGTTTTTATTTTTGAGACAGAGTCTTACTTTGTTGCCCATGCTGGAGTACAGTGGCGTGATCATAGCTCACTGCACCCTTGATCTCCTAGACTCAAGCGATTTTCCCGCCTCAGCCTTGCAAGTAGCTGGAACTACAGGTGCACACCACCACACCTGGCTAACTTTTTTTGATATTTAGTGGAGCAGGTCTCGCTATGTTGCCTAGGCTGATCCTGAACTCCTGAGCTCAAGCAATCCTCCCACCTCGACTTCCCAGAGTGCTGGTTTATAGGCGTGAGCCACTGTGCCCAGCCCTTATGGGAAAGTTTTAAATAAAGGGTTCAATTTCTTTAAAAGAGTTAGGCTTATTCAAATTTTCTATTTTGGTTTTTTAAGAAATTTTCCATTTTGTCTATATTATCACATTTAGTGGCATAAAGTTGTTAATAATACCCTTAGACTATATTTAATTGTTATTTTAATATCTAGAGCAGTGGTTCTCAAAATGTTTTGGTCTCAAGATCCTTTAATATTTTTTAAAATTATTGAGAATCCCAGACAGCTTTTGTTTATATGGGGATTAATATTTATCTTACTAGAAATTAAAATTTAAAAATTAAAAAATGTATTTATTAATTTAAAAATAATAGCAGCCAGGAGCTCACGCCTGTAATCCCAGCACTTTGGGAGGCCCAGGCAGGCAGATGGCTTGAGCCCAGGAGTTTGAGACCAGCCTGGGCAACATGGCAAAACCTCGTCTCTTCAAAAAATACAAAAATTAACCGGGCACAGTGGCACGTGCCTGTAGTCCCACCTACTCATGAGGCTGAGATGGGAAGACAGCTTGAGCCTGGGTGGCAGAGGTTGTAGTGAGCTGAGAATGCACCACTGTACTTCAGCCTGGTTGACACACCCAGACCTTGTCTCAAATAATAATAATAGTAATATTAAAATAGCCCTAGATAAGTTGGAGTAATGTCAGCAGGATGGCCAAATTGAGTTACCTAAAGCCCATCCTCTCCACAAAAAGGGACCAAAACAAAGAATAAATAACTATATTTCAATTAAAATGACCAAAGAAGTACTCTGGAGAGCACCAGGGGAACAGCAAAATCCCTGCGGAAGACAAAAGCCCAGGGCAGCACCATAGAGAGGGGAGCAAGGCATTCTGCTTCTGCCACACTGTCTCTCCCACCAGGATCAGCCTGGAGCCAGAGGGGGCTTCTTAAGGGGAAAAAGTAAGCTGGAGATCACCAGTGATCCCCATTGCTACCATAAATGCCAGAAATTCTTGCTATAGGAGAGTCCCCCAGTCCTCACAGGCCCTGAATCCAGCCAGCTTGGAGAGTAGCCAGGAGTTCATGCAGTTACTGTGCCTAGAGTAGGAGCTCACCTTGAGCACCCCCTGCCCCCGACCCTCACATCCTAAGCTGCTGCTACTCAGTACCATCTTGAAACTGGACCTACTACTAGAATGTGCCCTTCCCTGTGGTCCAGTATAGGAATGGACTTTTTCCATTCCTGTAGCCCTGCCATCACTCTACCATGTTTGCATAGGTGCCTGTAGCACTATGATCCTAGCTGCCTGAAGCCTAGCCAGATGGAACAACTGAGACTTCTGCACTTGCACCCGTGTGGCACACTACCCTCCCAACCCCAGGAAGAGCCAAACCTGCACAGGGGTGAAACTGCCTAACTGCTGGCCAGTCCCCTCACCAGTACATACCTGCGCTGCACAGCTAGCTGGCCAGTTGAACTCATGCACACCCATATCCAGCCCAACAACCAGTCCTACAGTGGTTCCACCCCTCAGACCACTGCAGAACCACCCAACCCTTCTGTGGCCACACACCACTGTGCCCGACAGCCAGTCTAGCAGCAACCCTGCCCCAAAGACAGACCACTGCAAGGTTGTGTGGCCTTGCTCTACCCATGCTTGGCCTGATAGTTGGTCAAGCAGCAGCCCTGTCCCCCTGGGTTTCTCAGGAGCAACCTTGTAGGCCAGGAGAGAATGAGATGATATATTCAAAGTTTTTTGGGAAAAAACCCTAACCTCTTAGCCAAGAATACTATATCCAGCAGAACTATCATCCACCAATGAAGGAAAAATAAAGAGCTTCCCAGACAAGCAAAAGCTGAGAAAAATCCATCACCAATAGACTAGCCTTACAAGAAATATTTAAGAGAATGGTATAACTGGAAACAAAAGATAATTACTTTCATGAAAAGATGTGAAAGTATAAAACCCACCAATAGAGGTAAATTTATAAATCAAATTCAGACTAGCCCAGTGATGTAATGGTGCTATGTAAGTCTCTCAGTCCTCTAGTATGAAGGTTTAAAGTCAAAATGGTCAAAATCCATGACAGTTACAATTAGTAGCTAAGGAACACAATCACAGGTAAAAAAGTAAATTACAGCAACAAAAGAGAGAAGTCTAGAGTATTTTAATGCAACCAAAGTTAAGTTGCTATCAGCTTAAAACATTCTATTATAAGACTTTTAATGTTAGCCCATGGTAGCCACAAAGAAAGAAATTACCGCAGAGGCACAAACAAGAAAGAGAAAGGAAACAAAGCTCAGCACCACAGAAAACCACCAGACCACAGAAATAAATAAAAGAGGAAGAAAGGAATGAAGGATCTATAAAACCACCAGAAAAAAATTAACAAAATGGCAGGAGTAAGACCTTCTGTATCAATAATAACCTTAAATATAAATGGATTAAATTATCCAGTTAAAAGATATAGAGTGGCTGAATGGATTAAAAACAAGACCTAACTATATAGTGCCTACAACAGACTCACCTAACCATTAAAGACAAACATAGACTAAAAGTGAAGGGAGGGGAAAAGATATTCCATGCAAATGGAAACAAGTGAGCAGGAGTAACCATGTCAGATAAAATAGACTTTAAGTCAAAAACTGTAAAAGAAGACAAAGAAGGTCATTAGACATTGATAAAGGGTATAATTAAACAAGAGGATATAAAAACTATAAATACATCCATCCATCCAAGATCAGAGCGCCCAGATATATAAAGCAAGTATTATTAGAGGTAAAGGGAGAGATGGACTGCAATACAATAACAGTAGGTGTTAAATGTAGTGAACTCCAAGTTTCTCTTCAAAGAATTCGTATGTCAGTATATTCAGCTCTCTTATTCTCTGTTCTCCATTTTAAAGCTTCACTTCCTGGTTCTCTTTGCCCTCTTGCCTCTAGCTTCAGTAAACAATCCCCTCCTAGCCTCTATCATCTGCTCTGTCCTGAGTCACCCCTGATCACCTGCTCTGACCTGAGTC